GCGCACAAGCCTCTCGTCGTCGCTTGCGCCGCTGCCGCTGCCGCTGCCAGCGCCGCTGCCGCTGCCAGCGCCGCTGTCAGCGCCGCTGCTGCCAATGTCACCCTTGCCAGCCAGAAGCTTCTCCAGGGGGTAGAACTCAACCCGCAGGGGCCCCGCGCCTTTGATCCCCGCTGGCTGCTGACGCGCCCCCGCTGCGCCGCCGCCGCCGCTGGCGCTTGGTGCTGCGGCCGCGCTCGGCCCAGGCGCGCCGCCGGCGCCGTGCCCGCTGCCGTGGGGCGTAGTGCAGTTGAACCCGCGGTGGCGGTGCTAGAGGTAAGCAGCCTCCAGGGCGGGGGTGAACATCACAGACAGCTCGTAGTGGCAGACGGAGAGGCGCCTGCTGGGCTCCTTGGCAGCGCGCCTCACAACCTCGCGATCGGTGCCCCTGGTTCAAACAAAGGTGACCAGTGCATCGTGTTTTGGCATGTGCGCGTATTGGCGGTACAGGCAGTTGCCAGAAGGAAGTACTGCTGTGTGATTCCATGCGGGGCGGCGCTACAAAAGTGTAATTGATGAGTGAAGGCAGTTGCTGAGGGCATGCTCAATCGGAAAAAGCAAAACAGGATGTGGTTAACACAGGTTGCCCTCCATGACCCATGACATCGGCCCTACCACCCACCACGCAGCCTGCGACAAATTCGCAGAGCCAATGATGGCCCACATAATGCGCCCCGTGGCCGCCTCCCACCTGCGCACCGGGCAAGCAGGCGTTGCGAGTGAGGCCGGCTGCTGCAACAGTCCGAGACCAGCACGCAGCACAAGAGCCTAGACGCAGCCCCCCTGAACCAAACTTCTAGGGCCAGGCGGCATGAGCGAGGCAGAGTCCATGGGCCCCCTCGTAGAAACCGCATCTCAGACCAACGCGTCGGCCAACCCTCTCCCCCTCCCCAGCCTTCAGCGCCACCTCTGGCGCACCCACGCATGACCGAAGCCGCAGTCATGTGCAAAGATTCTGTGGACAACAACGCCATCCAGGCCTAGCGTGATCACGCGCCTGACGTACGCCTTGGTGTGCGGCATGACCCTGGCCCGGGCCCCGGGGCAGCCCTCCAGCCGCATCAGGCTGGGCCGCAGGAATGGTGACAGCAGGTTGGACGCGCCACCACACACCTGGGCAGGCGCGGGTGAAAAGGGCACGCATGCAACGGCGCCCGCGCATGGGTGGTAGTGTGTAACGCGGGGTGCAACATCCGACACGCATTCCAGACGATGGCAAGGAGAGCACAAGGGCGTCCCTTGCATCCTGTTTGGTCTCCACTGCAGCATTCAAGCCGGGGGTGCTGCGTTGTTTCCTTTTCCTGTTAGGGCTCATACCTGGAGGTGAGAGCCGCCGTACAGGGAGTGGACCGCGTCCGCGTTCGTCGGCCACAGAAGGCTGAACCGCGGCAGCGCGGGCTTCACGTCAGCCGCAGCGGCCGCCACAGCAGCCGCCGCTGCCACACGCGGCTCCAGCCCGCCTCCGCCGCCCTGGCCCTCGCCCACGCCCCCGTCAGTGCAGTCCTCCCCCCAGCCGGCCAGGAACGCGCCTGTCAGCGCGCTGAATGGGTTGTCCCCCACTGCAGGCGCCCAGGGCTGGCGCCACCAGGAGAACGAGCCCAGGCTGGCGACGCTGGCCGCGACGGGGAACGCGGCGCCGGCGCCGGGGACGCGCGAGTTGGGGATGTGCCGCATGCGGCCCAGGAGGGTGCGCAGCTGCAGGTGCCCGACAGGCACCCGCCGGTCTGCGTGGGGCAGCAGGGCGGTGGGGCCGCGCGCTTGGGCAACGTAAACCCAGAAGCGATCTCCACGCCGCGGTGCGCACTGTGCTGCAGGGAAGGCGCCGCAGCACGCCCACAAAGTGTGCCTCCACAAGCTGCAGCCCGCTTACACAGCGCCCATCCCCGGCCTCCCAGATTTGGGTGCAAAGGTCACTGCACACTCCCCAGGCTACCCCAGCATCCGCCCAGTCTGCGCATGCAACTCCTCTTCCACCCAGCCCGCGCCCATCCTGCCACACTCACTGGTTGAGTCCCATACCCCGGGGTGGCTGGCAATGAGGTGGCCCCTGGCAGACGAGAAGTCAGCCCTGCGGATCTCCCTCAGGAAGAGGGCCTCGTGGTCCTTGCGCAGCCGGAAGGCCTGGGGACGCGATCAGATCAGAAGGCGGCCGGGCAGGTGTGGGGGTCAGCTGCAAAAGTGCGACGGGCAGGGGTCAAACATGAGGGGTTTGATGAAGCTCGGTGGCGCGCTTGGCCCAGGTGGAGACCTGATGGTTCCATAGGCACCCGCGCCAGCACGCGGCGGAAGCCAACCCCCACTGCATCCCTCAGCCCTCCAGTGGGTGCGTTCATCACTCGATGCCGCGCCCCGCGGCGGCCGCCTGCGACTTAAGTGGTGCCAGCAGCGCAAGGCGCCATCTCCAGCCGTGCGTAGCCCATGCAGAAGGGCGTCCCTCCCTCGACACTTGTGGGCCCACCTGCACCACGTGCTCTGCCAGGTAGTCCTCAAACTCGGTTGTGCTGGGTGATGCGCCGTCCTTCCAGGGGAAGTCCTGGGAGTACGCCACCTGCGAGGTGCGCGGTGCGCGGTGGTGGCGCACGCAAGCAACCAACCGCCGCAGCCGGTTGCTTACGTGAGCATGCGTCATGCTGCACGGCCGAGGTGCTTGTGTGATACATTGAAACAAGGCAAAATTTGGAGATGAGGCACGAGCACTCCTGAAATCCTATACGCTGAACGCTCGCTTTCCAGGCAGGATGGAATGAGCGCCTCACCACTACCCCAGCGGCTTGCTTGGCCCCCGACAAGGCCCTCGTTGGGTTGGGGGCTGCAAGTGCTGTCAACGCAGCTGCAGGCAAGGCAGGAGCCCCAGGCTGATGTACGCATGCACCGAGCAGCGGCTCCTGATGGGGCTACCCCACCTGTATGTAGATGCAGTCCTGCAGGACGTGGTTGCAGCTTGATACGACCAGGCGGACTCCAGTGGGGTACACCAGCAGCATCAGCTAAACAGGGGAATCAGGCAAAGAGGGGAAAGAAGGCGAGGCTGGGCTTGGCTTGGCTGGGGTGAGAGTGAGTTGTGGTGGGACTGAGAGTAGGGGCAAGACGGTTGGTGGTGAAGAGAAGTGACAATACCAGCGCAAACAGGGCGGCTGCCCGGCAACTCCGCCCCGCCACGCCACTCGTCAACGCTGGCGCGGCGGCGCTGCCGCTGCTGACCCTCTTGCCCAGACAGCCGTCGCGTGGAGCGCGCCGCGCCCCAGCCCATAGATCCGCATCGCTATTCCCCAGCAGGACGCTCGTCCAGGCCGCACCTTGCTGTGCATGCACGACCACTTGGCGGGTGCAGCCCCGTGGTACCGCACCGGCGGCAGGACCTGGAACCGCCGCCCCCGCTCTGACAGCGCCGGGTGAGCGCCGACCAGCCCGCCGATCTCGAGGTCTGCCACGTCTGTCACGCACGCGCGGGCCTGCAAGATGGGCGTGAACATGACGCGCGTTTGGCGGACGTGTGCAAGCGGAGGTTTGCACTGCTGGCATGCTATTGAAAAGAGCTTGCCGGTTGGTCGAAAGGGGACAGACCAGCAGAGAGGTTGGTGTCCATCGGTGTGCATCTGTTTGAGTCCGGCCGTGTCAGAGGGTTCATACCACATAGCTACCGCGTAAAAAGAGTGGCGGCACGCACCTTGGGGTTTGCGACGTCTGCCGGCTGGCGGGGCAGGCGCCCCTGCTGCTTGGCGAGCTTCTGCTCCGCCACCCGCTCCTCCGCCGACTGGTGGCCCACATAGACGGCCTGGTTGACGCGCGACAAGCTGCCAACATTGGGGCATTGGCCGGCATGTGCGCTCGCTCTCGCGCAAGTCTCGACTCTCATATGCGTGCATGCATGCGAGCGTAAAGTTTACGGACCAGCTGGGTTGTGTAGTGTTTGTCCCCAAGGCCTCATGCAACCCCAACCATCAAAGCCGATCTCTTCAAACTCCTCCCTGGCAAACCTCAAGCCAGTCAAGCGCTCACCAGGAGCGCCTCTTGCAGCGCCGGCACTCTGGCCGTCAGCTCGGGGGCCTGCTGGCCGTAGCAGGCGTGGAGCGCGTACAGGGGCCGGCCGTGCGCATACGCCGCCATGGAGGTGCCCAGGACGCCCTGGTTGTCCTCCGGGGGCAGGCCGCTGTTAGCAACGGGTTACATGGTGGGGTGGGGTGGGGTGGAGTGGGCCCGAGGCTGGTTGTGGGGGGCAGGGGGAAGGCATCAAAGACACAGGCTTGGGGGATGGGAGGGCGTTCGACCTGCGAGGGCTGTCACGTGAGTGACACGCACGAGGAGGCTAACGGGGCCAATGCAGGCTGCAGACATCGGGTCTCCCTAGTCGCACCACCCCTCCCCCCCCAAAATCATATTGTCAGCCAAGTGTGCAATCATGATCAACCCAGCAGGATCGCCTCCCTGCTGTCTCCCTCTCACTTGACAGCCAGCTGAGTGAAGGGCGCGTCAAAATGCAGCCGCGCGTCAAAGCCCGGCTCCTCCCCTGTCCACTCCCGCTGCGCGCGACCCTCTTTGTCCTCCAAATCCACAGCCGTGCCCTCTGCTGCCGCTCCGGCAGCCGCCGCAAAGTCGGCGCCCGCCACTGCCTCCGCGGCCGTTGCTGCCGCCCCGAAAGCGGCAGCATCCTGCTCCTCGCTGTCGAGCAACGAGATCACCTCGGGTCCCCGCACTCCAACCTGACCCTGGTCCCGCCGGTGCACCTGCCCCAGCCGCAGCGCTTGCACCCGCGGGTCAATCTCTGCCGCCGCCGCCACGCTGCGTTGCCCGGCTGCGGCCAGCGTCGCAAGCTTGATTTCAAGCAGGAGCAGTAGCTGTTGCTGAGCCGTCGGCAGCTGCTCTTCCGCACGTGATCTGCTGCTGACACCGCCAGCCCCGGTGTCGACGCTGCCACTGGTGTCGGCGCGTGTGATAAGACGGCAGAGGTCGTGCCGCAGCTGCGACAGGCCGCGCTCAAACGCGCGCAACGCCGCCACAATGCACCTGGCATAGTCCTGATCGTCCCCGCCTTGCTCAAGTCTTACTTGCTGCTGCTGCTGCTGCTGCTGCTGCTGCTTGTCCTGGGCATGTACCTGCGTCAGGATGTGCTGGTGCTCACGCTGCACCTCACCCTGCTGCTGCTGCCTCTGCAACTGTAGCAGATGATGCTGGTGCTGCTGCTGTCGTCGTCCCCACTGCACCTCGCCTTGCTGCTGCTGGCTGTCTGCCTCCCGCTGCTGCCTCTGTGTCTGCCGCTGTTGTTGCCGCAGCAATGGCGGTATATGCAGCTCGCTCTGTAATGGCTTGCTGCGCTTTGGGCTCACGAACGCAGCAAGCGCCGCTTCGCGCAGCCGCTTTGCGCCGCCGGCGCGCTGCATGCCCTGGGCTCCACCCTCGCCACAGCCATGGTCCCCATTGACATCGCCCTTGACGCCGCCTGACCTCACATGTACATCACTGCCGGTGCCAGCCTGGCCAATGCTGCTGTGCTTGCTGGCCGCGACTGTTGATGTCACCACCTGGGTAGCCTTCACGCACTGTCTGCACTCACAGGCCCCTTGGGCCCTGGAAACCTCCACAGACCATTTGACGCTGCCATCACCATTTGTAGCCTGGAATATCAGGGTCGTGGTGGTCTGTGGGACGCCCTCCAATGGCAATGTGATGGTGGCTGCCACCTCGCGATCGCTGGTGCTGCTGGTGCTGCTGCTTCCACCGCTGCTGCTCACTGTGAAGGCCTCCCCCATCTGAAAAACCTGCTCATTGACTTGCTGCTGCCTGCCGCCTGCTTCAAGAAGGCACAAGGGAACGCATCGCAGCATACAGCGCGCAATGCAGCGGTGTGCCTCAGGATTCCAGCGGGTGCTTGGCCGTTGCAGCGCAGCAGGCAAAACGCGGCTCAGCGTTGAGCAGGCTCGAGCAGCACAGCCACTGGGCAGCAGCGAGGCGAGCAAGCACCCACCTGCAGTAGTGACGCAAGCGCCATGTCTGTTTAGCACGTGCACCCTGACGCCGCCGCCAGCCAGCCCCAGCACCAGCGCCTTGTTGCTGACGCAAGCGCAGGCGAAGCAGCCCGCCCTGTATGGAACACCCAGGCGCCTGCCAAGCACACGTTCCCTATCTGGCTTCAATGTCAGGGTCGCCACCCGCATCGCATCAGCTGGGGCTCAGGCCATGGCGCCGTGTTCTGATGAGCGGCAGGAGGAGCGCTGCGATCATGCGCAGCACGCATGCACGCCGAGCACCGGCGTCAGCGGGGCGTCCTCCGAAGCCAGTCAATCACTCGCAGATCTCCATAATTGGAACATTTAGACGCGTCTGGCAAACATGAGGTGCGCTGAGCTTCGGCGGGTGAAGCTCGCGACAGTTGCAATTTAAAGAACTTTTATAACCTGCATCTCGTGGTTCAAGTCATATCCCGCGCCTGCTCCAAGCGGCGCTTGTCAAGCGCACGCTGAGCGTGCTGTGCAACAGGCCAACCAACTGGCAGGGCGTCATGTCGAGTGTGCGCATCAAGATCTCTGTGTATATGGCCAAGGCAACCAAATATGCTGCTGCGCTAGCTTTTGCACATGCTGGCTGGTGACCCGCAAGACGTTGCTCCTGCAACATCTCGAGCTGCGGCTCTGTTCAGCAAGCCAGGTGGCCGGCCGGGGTGCACTGTGCCCTTGGCTCTCCAGACCAGGGATGCCCGCACGTCAGCTTGCTTTAGCGTAATGCACGGACACGGCGGCCTTTGCTGCAGCGAGCTTCGTGAGGTTTGCGCCGATCGCGGTGCTTGTGCCAGTGGCCTGCGCAAGTGCTGCCTTCACAGCGGCAGCAAGGCCAGCAGCACACACGAGGCTATGCAGGGCCAAGTGCACCAGGCAAGTATGGATACCAGCACTGTGCCCAGGAACCGCCCAGATAGTGGCCTCATCACGCCAACGCATGGACCGCAGGGTGGGTGTACTCAACCCAACCAACTGTGCTCGGCACAACACAGACGTGCGCTTGCGCAATTTGGAGAGGACAAGCCAAAGCTGACGCCCTGCTTGTGCATGCTCACACAAGCAATCATGCGCAAAGCCAGCGACCCAAGCCATGCATCAGGCTATGCTGGTGCATGGTGCTGGCCGATTGAGTAGCTGAGCACTGAGAGGCCCCTTGCGCGTCTTCTCCTCGCAGCCTCGGCTGCCGCAGGCCAGCTGGACTGCCCTTGTCAAGACACCCAGCAGCACCCCATACGCCGAGGAGCGTCAAAGCCGCTTTGACCACGTACATGGCTGCTAAGAGGCCATGCCAGCATCTGATACAGGTCCAAGTGGAAGCGGCCTTGTTCAACCCCACTACAGGCACGTGCGGCTCGCGGGCTGCTCCGGTTGAGCTTATGTAGAAAGGCTTTGAAGCATGCAGCAAGGGCGCTCCACACGATGCACACCTGCACAGTCGTGTCTGGAGAGGCATGCTGCCTGTTTTCGCGAGGCTATCCATTTGTCGTGCAGCGAGATTGTGACAAGCGCTTTCCCCACGGTCGCCGCCGCCGCCACCGCCTGCCGCAGTTCAAGCGCGCCGGCCAGATCGGCGACGGAGGTCGTCACACCTCGTCCATCAACATGAGAGAATTAATTCGCGCGGGTCTGGCTGTACTCGCAGAGCTGGGGGCTCGTTGGCGCCAAAAGCGCAGTCAGCAGCCAGCTTCGTGTCCGCCAGCCTGCCCCTGGGCATTCAAACATACTTGGATGTTGCTCGACCGCTTCACTCATATCCTTACGACCTCTGCCACGCAAGTAGCAAGGCCTCAGCACTCTCCAGCACAAAACAGCAGCTCGTGCTCTCTTCGGCCCCAGCAGCAGCCATGCGCGAGATCGTGCACATCCAGGGCGGGCAGTGCGGCAACCAGATTGGTGCCAAGTTCTGGGAGGTGCGCGGGGTCGAGCAACGCACGGCGGGGCAGGGTCTGCTGCTTGACCGTGTGAGCCAAGGCTCATCCCGTCCCATCGGCCGCAGGTGGTGTGCGACGAGCACGGCGTTGATCCCACTGGCACCTACCATGGCGACAGCGACCTGCAGCTGGAGCGTATCAACGTTTATTTCAACGAGGCCACCGGCGGTGCGTGAGATCTCAGCGGGGCCGGGCTTTGGTGGGGCCTCCAGAGGCCCTGGCACCGGGGCAAGGGCCTCTATATCCATTGTATGGCAGCAGGGCATCCCAGTGGGTCAGAGCAGGCTGTCACAGGGCGTGCAGCGGAGCCAGCAGCACGGGCCAATGGGTTCTCCTTGTGGACGTCCCCTCCGGCATCCCGATGCTCTCCAGCTCATCAAATATATCCATTTGACCGATCGAGCTTCATAGGGGATGCAGCTGCGGTGGCCCAGAGACTCAGCTGACGGCCCTGGCGCGCAAACGCACTTCCTCTTTCCTCGCCCCTACCCCAGGCCGCTATGTGCCCCGTGCCATCCTGATGGACCTGGAGCCCGGTACCATGGACAGCGTGCGCTCGGGCCCCTACGGCCAGGTGTTTCGTCCTGACAACTTTGTCTTCGGCCAGACTGGCGCTGGCAACAACTGGGCTAAGGGTCACTACACCGAGGGCGCTGAGCTGATTGACTCAGTGCTGGACGTCGTGCGCAAGGAGGCCGAGTCGTGCGACTGCCTGCAGGGTGCGCAGCACACAGCAGCGGCGCGCTTATGCAGGGGGACTGCTTGGGCGGATTGGCAGCCCCGCGCAGCTGGGTGGGCGTGCAATGATGGCACAGCAGCTGCGTCGATGCGATGGGCAGGGCCTACGCGCGTGGCACAGTTGATTTGCAGCGACTGTCAGTGGGCGCTATTTGAATCAGCAGCTGCCTGGCCACGCAGCGCCAGCCTGGATCGCACACATAAGCCGCAGGCCAGCGCCAGTCACGTGCCTGCAGATACAGCCACTGTGCTGATGTTTCATTCCGACACAAATGCTGTTCCCCTCAACCCGGCCGCAGGCTTCCAGGTCTGCCACTCCCTGGGCGGCGGCACCGGCTCCGGCATGGGCACCCTGCTGATCTCCAAGATCCGCGAGGAGTACCCCGACCGCATGATGCTGACCTTCTCGGTGGTGCCCTCGCCCAAGGTGTCTGACACTGTCGTCGAGCCCTACAACGCCACCCTTTCGGTGCACCAGCTGGTCGAGAACGCCGACGAGTGCATGATCCTGGACAACGAAGCGCTGTACGACATCTGCTTCCGCACCCTCAAGCTGACCACCCCCACCTTCGGCGACCTGAACCACCTCATCAGCGCGGTCATGTCGGGTGTCACCTGCTGCCTGCGCTTCCCCGGCCAGCTCAACGCCGACCTGCGCAAGCTGGCGGTCAACCTGATCCCCTTTCCCCGCCTCCACTTCTTCATGGTCGGCTTCTCGCCCCTCACCAGCCGCGGCTCCCAGCAGTACCGTGCGCTGACCGTGCCCGAGCTGACACAGCAGATGTGGGACGCCAAGAACATGATGTGCGCCGCCGACCCCCGCCACGGCCGCTACCTCACCGCCAGCGCCATGTTCCGCGGGCGCATGTCCACCAAGGAGGTCGACGAGCAGATGCTCAACGTCCAGAACAAGAACAGCTCCTACTTTGTTGAGTGGATCCCCAACAACGTCAAGTCCAGCGTGTGCGACATCCCGCCCAAGGGCCTGAAGATGAGCGCCACCTTCATCGGCAACTCCACCGCCGTTCAGGAGATGTTCAAGCGCGTGAGCGAGCAGTTCACCGCCATGTTCCGCCGCAAGGCCTTCCTCCACTGGTACACTGGCGAGGGCATGGACGAGATGGAGTTTACTGAGGCTGAGTCCAACATGAACGACCTGGTGTCGGAGTACCAGCAGTACCAGGACGCCAGCGCTGAGGAGGAGGGCGAGTTCGACGAGGAGGAGGAGGCCGCCTGAGCGGCGCGCCCCCGGCCGCCCTCGGATCGGCGGGCGGCGCGCTAGCGGCGGGACGGGCGGGCCCTGCGCCTGCCTGCCTGCCTGGCTGGTGCGAGGACTGCGGCGCGTGCGCAGTGGGGGCGCGGTAGCAGCAGCCTGCATGACGGGCTTCCGTGCACACGTCTGAGCCTTGCATGCCCCGTCCCCGTTTTTGTCTCTGCCCTGCTGTTGTATCTCATCACCCCTGTCGCCTCTGGCGCGCTGCCCTCTGGCTTTCGGCTGCGCCATGACCCCCAAATGACCCATCCTTGGATTGCCTGGACTGCCCAAACGTCCATGCTTCCAAGCCTGTGACCCACCTGACCATTTTACCCATCCCATCGCACCAATTGTGGCAATGCGCGCGGTCGAAGGCCTTGGCTTTGGGCTCGGGAAGTGCGAGGCCGCGCCCGCCCATCAAAAATGTGCGCGCGCTGCTGAAGTGAACTCGACTCCCCAAAGATTTGGCCATGCGTCCGCAAGGCGCTTTTCACGCACCCTCTGCCTGGCTGCCTGTGTGTAATGTGGAGGTTTGCAACTTGGTGTCGATGCCGGAACAATCAGGAGGAGCTTGGGGCAGTGGCAATGCTGGGGATCATGTTGGGCTGTTGATCAGCTTTCTTCAAACCCATGCTGCGTCAGGCATTTGGAGCAGCATGTGCAGCTACTGCAACTGACGGCGTTGTCAATTTGTCACAATATTTGCTACCAAAATGGCAGAACCAGGCTGCCTTTGATGAGTGAAATCAGCTGTTACATGGGGGCTTTGACAAAGCAGCAGAGCAGCAGTAAGCACACCGGAACGCCCTGGGTGACACTCTTTGTGGCGAGCGACGACGCGTAGTACAACCACAACGGCGTGGTGGTTGCAATACTTCAGCTTTGTGTGCATTGCACTGTAATTGAACCCGAAAACTTTGCGCTGAGAGCAGATCGAAGACCGTCTACATACACTGTGTATGAAATACACTGTGCTTGCGGTCACCGACCATTCAGTCAAACGGATATACAACATTCCCTTGCACTTTGTTGTCCTTGCTCATTGGTGCTGGGGTGGCCGCAGGATTAGCATCGTACTCTGAGCGTCGCCAGCAGGGTGTGCTGCGGTGGCCCTCGACGCCACATGCCGGCTGAGTGGCGCGTGGATGCCAATCAGCCGAGCAAGTGCGGTGCAAGCACTTGCAGGCGCCGACATGAGTGCAACCAGCAGCGCAGCCCCAGCGGCCACTGCGGACGACGTGGAACCAAGCGCCTGGCACGGGGGTGCCGCGTGGCAGCAATTCCACAAGGGGTATAAAGAGCGATTTGTCCTAGACTGCAACATCAAGTTGCTCTGCAACGGAGTGACTGTGCGCATTGCGCAGGCGCCCAGCGCAAAGAGCGCTGCGCCTGCGCGAAAGCCGCAGCAGAAGGCTGCCGTGCCGGCGACAAAGGGGCAGCAGGCGGCGCTGCAGCGCGGCCGCGGCGCCAGCCGTGGCAAGGGGCGGGCGCCAGGGGCCGCTGCGGGCGGCGGCGGCGACGGCAGGGGTTCTGCGGTCAGCGGCGAGCGCGCGGCTGCAGATGCTCCTGATGCGTTGACTTTGCTTGACCGACGTTCAGACCCTGCACTCACCGGAAGCACCGTTTGGGACGGGTGAGCTGGTAACGCAGCAGGGCGCGGCGGCCGCGGGACCAGCCCCATTTCCAGGGCCGCAATCCGTCGACCATCCAGCCAGCTGTCATCCTAAATCGCACACAGCCGGTCAGGCAAACCCCTCGCAGCGCCACGGCCACGGCCGGCTCGCCCGGGCCCTCGATGCCCCGCCGCCCTCACCCCACAGGTCAACTCCGCCCCGACCCCTTCACCTCTCCTGCCGCTCCCTCCCCCCCTCTCCCCACAGGGCCATCGTTCTGGGCCAATACCTCACGTCGGACCCCTCTGCCCTGCGCCGCACCTGGCCCAGCGGCCGGGCGCGGCCGGTTGTGCTCGAGCTCGGCGCCGGCACCGGCGCGGTGTCCCTGTGCCTGCTGGCGGCACGCGCGGCTGAGGGCGCGGTCATGACCGACCTTCCGGATGTCCTGCCGCACCTGCGGCGCAACGTGGCGCACAACGCGGGCGCGGTCGGGCCCGGCGCGGCGCTGGTGGCGCCGCTGCGGTGGGGGGACGCGCGAGACGGTGGGCGGGGCTGCGGCTTGAGCTTGGCAGGGGGGCACGCGGACGCGGTGGGCAGGGCGCGTGGTGCTTGATCTAGCTGTCCGGGACCTCTGCAGCGGCGGCCTGCTGCTGCGCCAGGGGCTGTCCATTGGTGCCCGCACAGGAGGGGCGGACATCGCCTGGCGCTTTGTTGGCCAGCCGAGTGGGGGCAGGCCGGGGAGGGGGCGGGGCTCAGGCCCCGCCAGCCCTCCTAAGCCTTACCGACTCAGCGCTCCGCCCCGCCTGCTGGACTCCAAGCGCACAACCATGCCCACCACGCTCCAACACTCCGCGTTGACCACCACGACCGCTGCATCTTTCGGCGCCCCCAGCATCTGAGCTCTCAGCCCTTGTCTCGCGGCGCTGGCCGGCACCTTCGCCGCCGCTGCCGTTGGCCGCAGCCGCGGGCGCCCCGGCGGTCGCGCCCGCGCCCGAGGCGCGGCGGCGGCAGGTGGGCGGCCGGCCGCCCTGGGATGTGATCGTGGGCAGCGATCTGATCTACTACTCGTATTCAGAGGAGACTCCCCACAGCCGGCTGCTGCTGGAGGCACTGGCCCAGCTGTGCTGCGAGGAGACGCCCGTCTTCCTGTCGCTGAGCCTGCACCACAATCCTGAGGAGGTGGGCTGTCGAGGCACGCGTGCTGTTACGTGCCTGTCCACTGGCCCTGCTGGCGGCGGCCCGCGGGTGCGAGCTCTTGCCTGCTTTGCCCGGCCGCACGTCGGGCTGGCGACGCCACTTCTCTGCCTGGAGGCCCAGGCTACTGTGGGCCTAGCGTCCCCGCACGCGCCACGCCACACAGGTGCACCCGCTACGCACCTCCGCGCCACACGCACCCAAACCTCGTGGCGCCCCACCCATCTAATCCAGGTCGAGCGCTTCCTGAGTTGGGCAGCCGACAGCGGCTTCCAGGTGACACGCGTCGACCCGGCGCTGATCCCAGGGGAGTACAGGGTTCCAGACGTGCTAGTGGCGCGGCTGCAGCTGGCGCCGCGCGGCGAGGGCGCTGAGGGCGGCCGTGAAGCTTGTGTGATGGAAGGGCGCGAGGGACAGTTGGGTGGGGCGGAAGGCCCACAGCGGGGGCAGCAGCAGGAAGAGCAAAAGGAGGACCTGGCGCAGCAGCAGCAGCAGCAGCAGCAGCAGCAGCAGCAGCAGTAGCAGCAGCAGCAGCAGCAGCAGCAGCAGCAGCAGCAGCAGCAGCGGGATTGATTGGCAGCAGCAGGAGCAGCAGCAGCAGTAGCACCAGCAGCAGCGGCAGCAGCGGCAGCAGCAGCAGCAGCAGCAGCAGCAGCAGCAGCAGCAGCAGCAGCGGGATTGATTACAAGCAGCAGCAGCAGCAGCAGTAGCAGCAGTAGCAGCAGCAGTAGCAGCCTTCAGTAGCAGCAGTTGGAGCCGTCTTGGCAGCCGCACCAGCAGCAGCGCCACAACGACCATGTAGGTGTGCATGCAGCAGCTTGTGCGCCTTCTATTGGAGGTGAAGTCTTGAGCTCGGCAATGTAGCTTGCGGATGCGTGGCAGTCAGCATGGCATGTTCGTTCCTCACAGCTTGAGCCGCACGTGTTGAAAGCGCAACCATCGGATGCTTTACAGATGCCATGGACTCCCAACCCAAAGTGCTAGTTTCGGCTACTGACGCTTGTGGCCCGCACACGCTGGGCCCCCGTTGGTTGCGCAACGCATGCGCCGCTCACGTGGCGGGGGCACAGGCCCACGGGAGGCTGTGTTCCCAGGCGCCGGCTCTGGCGACGTCACCATTTTTGCAGCAATGCATGCGCATCTCCTGCGGCAGTGGTCCATGGCCCAGGCTGGACCCAGGCATGTTTTGTACTGACCCTGCCCCTGGCCCATGCCATTTGGACACCCTCCAAGTTTGGCCCGTGTAATCGTGCAAAACAGGGCTGCTTACTATGTGTGTTGTGATGCGGGGCGCAAGGGGGCGACTGCTGGTATCAATGGCTGGAAACAAACGGCAAGTGGGCAGTTTGACAGCTGTGGCCATGCGACGGGGCTGCCGATGCGTGCGATTGTGTTGTGGGCGAATGATTATGAAGGAGGCACATGCAACAGGACAGCTGGGCCCTGAGAGACCGCAGCAGCCGCCTGGGAATAGGGTGCAGGGTGGCGCCGCCACGGCACAAAGCCGCGGTGCATGCAGGTGCGGTTGGGAGGTGAATAGCGAACGCGGTGAGATGAGAGGGAAATGCATATCCATGCCCTGCAGGCCTGAGAATACCCCAGCGTGGCCGTCCCTCTGGTAATCAAGGGTCTCGGGCCCGCTGGCGGCAGTGTTTGCCTCCATACAGTGCGTAGAGGGGTCGAATTGTTTTGGTATGCAAACGGATCGGCGCATGCAAAAGCGCACAGCAGTTCGAATCGTCGAAGCGCCGCCGCAACGCCCCAGGTTGTCATGCAGAAGTAGAGGCTGCGGCGCGCAGAAGCAGAAATCAATCAAGCGAGGACCGCATGCATGCACGCCTGCTTGCCTGAGTCAGCGCCCGTGCCCCCAAACCAAGTTAGTAGCGATCTGCGGCCCTCAGCCTGGCGACTGCAGGCGGCGGGCCTTTCCTGCCCCCCCTCCCAGCAACAGCATATCCTGCTGAGCCGCCAGCCCTATGATGCTCCAGGCCCAAGCACACGTTTGTGTCAACGCATGCCTTGAACGCAGGGCCCCTGTCCCATACACATGCGTTCATCTGATCTAGGTGTGCGGCCGCCATCAGCGGCCCTGCACGCACGCGTGTGTCAACGCACGACAGCCCCCGACGCACGCTGACGCCATCATCAACAGCCAAAAAGCCAATCAATAGCGGCGTGCCTCCCTCAAGGTGTCATGTATCGTCAAACGAGCAATACCGGCCCGTGGCCCGCCGCATCCTAAACCAGCCGCGTAACTTGCAAGGGCGGTGGCGTGGCAGGTGTAGAGGAGGGCTGAGAGCGCCGCAACTGCCTCATGCGCCACACGGCTGGAAGGTAGAGGGGCGCCGGCGTGTCGGGACATCTGATGTCCCCCGCGCCCTCGCCAGGGGGGAGGGGGCTGCAACCGGATCAGTGGCTGTATCAGACGATGGCGCCGTCCTCGGGGGCCACGTAGGCAGCGCCAACAGAGTCAAACTCCCCCGGCAGCGCACGCGCGGCCATGCGGCGGCGCCGCCAGTAGAGCAGCGCCCCGCCGGCGACAGCCAGCGCAAAGACGATGACGCCGATCGCGATGCCGGCCTGCGCACCGGGCGTCAGGCTGCCGGCGCCCGCGGCGGCGGCAGGCGCGGGGGTCGCCGCGCTGAGGGCGGCCTCCACCCCTGTGAAGCCGTAAGTGGCCCTGAAGTTGTCATCGAAAAGAGCATCAGGGTTGGTAGTGATGGCGTTGACCAGGGCGTTGACCTGGGCGGGGGTCCAGTCCCGTGGCACGTGGAACGTCACCGTGGCCCTCACTGACCCCTCTGTCAGGGCGCCAACCTGGGGTTGCGGTTGCAAGCAATGGGCGGCGAGCAAGGGAAGGGTGTGGACGGCTGCCGTCGCACGTGCCGGTTGAAGAACATGTTGGCAAGACTTCGCAATCGGTCTGGCACAGAGCGTGCTGGAAGCAATCGCGCAGCACGCCGAGGAGCCAAGGCCCAAGGCGGCTTTGGCTCAGGCGGCCTCAAAGCCACCCCCGCACGCCCTGCGCCGAGCGCGCACGCGCCCCCGCGTGCGCAGCGCCACCGCCTTGTGTGCGCACCTGGATGCTGCTGCGGGGGATGTCAGTTGCAGCCGCAACGACCGCCACAAGGTCTGACCTGAACTGCAGGCGCTCCACTGTGTTTGCCATGATCTCAGCATAGTCCATACCCACAAACCGCAGGTCAAAAGCGTACGGCTGCGTGCTGGCCGGAACGTCATACGCCGTCTCCCCAGTCTGGTCCACGGCCCCGCCGGCGCCGCCGCCGTCGCCGCCGGCGCCGCCGGTGCCGGGCGACGGGGACGGGGACGCCGACGGCGGCGGCGCGACCGGCGTCGCAGCGATGAGGTAGGTGCCGGCGCGGGTGACGGTGCAGGTGACGGTCGGAGAGCCGGAGGTTGTATCAACCACGGCCGAGGTTGACGGCTCGGCCTGGAACTGGGTGTTGGAAGCCAGGCGGATGCAGGTGTAATCGACGCCGGAGCCCTGCGCCAGCAGGCGGCGCGCGGCGGCCGCCACCGGCGCGGGCAACGGCAGCTTGATGGCGGCTGAGCAGGTCGCGCCGGCGGCGCAGGGGAGGGCGGCGGTGGTGGGGTCCTGGCCGGAGGCGGATAGCACGATGGCGCCAGAAGGGACGGTGGTGGTTGTGTCGCCGGCGACCAAGATGCCCAGCCCGGCCTTGGTGCGGACGTCTGTGAAGAGCGAGGAGTCCTGTCCGGGCGTGGTGGGGTGCGTTGGGGTGTGTTGGGATGTCGTGAGTGTATTGGGGCGAATGGAGGATTGCGAGGATGTGTTGAGGTAAGACTCTGAAGTATATGGAGGATGCGGTTGTTGGAGGAGAGGCGCGGTTGAGCGCGGCCTGCTTGAAGACCCTCAGGGTGCCAGGCTGTGGCCGCGGAGAGCAGGCAGGGGCGCCATGCGCCGAGAATCGTTCCGTGTGATGCACGCCCTGATGACCCCTGGCCTTTGGTATTGGCAAGCACAAACTCTCAAGGCAAGATTTCAGGTTTACCCCACTCATGCACCTGGGGCCACCCACACATCCAGCCACCAATTTGCGAACCCATTCAACCATTCATCCCTTGCGATGCTTGACCACCCACACACCTGTTGAGCTGCCCACCCACCTACCCTCCCACACACACACACCCACACCCACACACGCACACCAGCATGCGCGCAACCCCCACACGGCCACCCACCTGGTGGAACTGCGCCGTGACCGCCAGGACGCCGTCCTCGCAAGGCGCGGTCACCTCCACCCCGCTGTCATTGACGCTGGTGCAGGGTGCCACGAAGGGCCCCACAAAGGCGACCTGGGCGGCGCCGGCTGCCACGTCCATGCCGTTGAGGGCGCGGCCGGGCTGGTTGGCTGCGGAGAGCTGCGGGCGGGTGGCAGTAGGGGTGGGATGGGAGGAAGGTGGTGTGGGGAGGGGGTCAAGTGGGGTGTGGTGAGACAGGAGGGTGCATTGCAGGATAATTAGTAATTGTGTGGCGCTAGAGGAAGGTCTGCAGGAGCAACAGTCAGTGCCGAGGGCCGATACCTCCTTTATCAACGGGATGGCGAGGCCAGGCAGGCGATCAGAAACACACACACACACACGCACACACACACACACACACACACACACACACCGGGGCAAAAGGCGCTCATGCAGGCGGGCGTTCTGCAACTTACGAAGATGCCGTCGCTGCTTGCTGTGAGCACGCCGTCCGCGGGGTTGGCGCCCTGAGCCAGCAGGTCCACCACCTGCGCCAGGGCATCCAGCAGGCCGCGCAGCTTCCCAGCAGCTGCCTTCTGGGCCACCTCATCGATGCTGATCTGCACGGTTCAGGGAGCAGGCGTCGGTGCGGCGGGGTGGGGTGAGAGCTGGTGCTTATCTGCAGCAGCTCAAGCAATGCAAGTACGAATCATGGGGGGGTCGCATGACAAGCCACGCAACAAAGCAAGACCAAAGCTGAAGCGCTCCGTTTCGCCCTTTGCAAGCGCCGCCGGCGAGCGCGGGGCCGCCGTGCGTGACAAGTTGCATCTGCAAGGCGGCCTGCGCGCGACTTGACGCGACCAAGTAGGACGCTGCCTTGGCACCCACCTGGGCGGCGGTGCGCCAGTTTTCGGCGGGCAGGTTGGCCACGGGGCCGCCGGCCTCGATGAGGGAGGCCGCGGCAGACACCGCGCTCGGCGGCATGGCCTGGCCGGCCAGCAGCGCCGACTCGACCACTGCGGGGGGGTGAGCCAGCAAAGGGGCGCCCCTTAGGTCAAAGTGTTGAGAAATCAACATTTCCTGCCAGCGGCACATAGGGTAAGTGAGCTCACAAAGGCAGCCGAGGAGGCGCCCTCGATTTTGGTGGTTGTCAGCCTGTTGCACCTGCAGACCGCCAACCCAAGCTGACGGCAACAGCAGGGATCCCAGGGATTGCAACACCCCCTGCCCCAAAAAAACCCAGGGCGAGATGATCTGCGCACGTGCTCCGCAGATCTTCAGCGCGGCCGCCTTGGCCGCGTCCGTGACGTTGGTCATCGCCCCGAGCACCTCCGCCGCGCTTGCCGCCGCCGTCTGCGCCGCCTGGGGGTCTGACGAGTCGACCGCGTCCCCGCTGGCTGACAGCAGCGCCGCGGCGCGGGTGTCGACGGCGGCGCTGAATGCGGCGCGGTCTGCAGCGGAGGCGTCCGCCGGGGGGCCGAAGGCGGCGAGCTGGGCCACCGAGCGGGCGGCGCCGTTGATGGCGGCCGGGTCGCCGGTGGCGATGGCCTGCGTTTCGGGCGTGGTTGCGTGGTGGGTGGCTTGTTCGTGTGTTGGCAGGGAGTCAGGCAAGACGCGTGCGCAGGTACACCACTGTGGTCAAGGGCAGGATGGCCGGCGGTGGCCGCGCTGCGTACAGGCCGTGACGAGAGCAAAGTGAGCCTCAACCGATAGAAATACAAACAATCAGAATCAAAAAGCAACGTGTTCAAAACCCAGTAACGCAGCACCACGGCCCGCATGACATCACACCTGGGAGGTGTCGACGCTGGCGATGGCCGCGCCCGCGTCGAAGCTCGCGGCAGGCGCATTGACCAGCACGACGGCCCCAGTCTCAAACGCCGCACCCTGCGCGTCCGACACGCGCACGTATATCTCTGTCGCGCCGACGGGCAGCGCCGTGAACCGGAAGGACGCCGCGCGGTCGATGAGCAGCGGCCGGTCCTTGCCGGCGGCGCGGACGCCCCACTGGTAGGTCAGAGCCTGCACGTCGCCGTCGTCATCGGCGACGTTGGCAGTGGGCACTGACGCCACGAACTCGGCCGTGGGGAAGGTGGCGCTCTTGATGACGACAGAGAGGCAGCCGTCCGAGGCGGCCGACTTGCAGTAGGGCGCCTTGTTGATCGGCACGGCCACGGCCGCGGTGCCGGTCTGGCCGTCCAACGTGATGTCGGCGGAGACGGTGACGTCATCGCCGGTGGCGGGCAGCGACACGGCGGGGATGGTGATGGAGGGCAGGACCTCGCCGGCGACAGGCTGACCGTTGAGCTTCCACGAGACCACCGCGTCGCTGAACGCGGCCGGCAGCGCCAGCACGAGGCTCAGGGGCTGGCTGGCGGAGTGCTTGGGCGGGCAGGGGCCGGCGCAGGCGCGGGAGAGGGACGCGGTGGGGACGCTGGCGGGGCGGGGCTTGACGCCGGCCAGGGTGGCGGTCGCGGAGCGGGAGCCTGCGGACGTTTAGGAGAGGCGTCGGAAACGACACCAAGCTTTGATGTATGCTCAATTCAAACAGTGCTGGTCCTTCTGTGCCATACACGGGTGACACAGAGGGCTGAGTGGCACGCCTGTCAACGCAAGCTGCCGCAGCAGCAGCTCGCCCATGTTCCCCCACCCTGCCGCCTGCCGAGCGCGCCACCCACCACCAAATCGGGTCCGCCGCCACTCACCCTTTGACACGGTGACGCTGAAGGTGTGGGCCGCGCCCGTCTCCAGGGTGCCGGCGGGGATCGTCCAGGTGGCGCCGTTGACGTTGCCGCGGCCCGCGGCGCCGAAGCAGGGCTTGCCGTCGTCGCGCTGACACAACCAATCAAAAGCCAGGGGGTTCACGCCGCGGGGGTCTGCGCGATTTTTTTTGGCAAAGGTGAGGGTTTTGCGGTTGGGGTGTGAAGCGGGACGGCCACGTATGGGGTGGGCTCTTGAGCAGACTGCAGGTTTGCAGCTCACGCACCTGTGCTTCAAATCAACCTTCAAACAATCAAATGACCAATCAACCAACCAATCAACCAAAATCAAACAAACAAAAAACAGGAATCTACACCAGCACCCACCATCAGGGTCGTAGGAGCCGGCGGCGCTGACGACAATGGTGGCCGTCCCCTTGAAGTCGCTCGGCCCCCTGACCGCCGCCACCAGCGGCGACGCCTGCGCCCTGAGCGTCACCGCCGCGACCGCCGCGAACGCCTCGTCCCCGACGATCGCCGCCGTCAGCTGCAGCGTGCGGCGCTGGTCGGGGGAGACGTCCGCCACGGGGCCGGGCACGACGAGCGTCTTCTGGGTGTAGTTGCGGACTGAGGACCAGGGCTGACCGGCGTCGTCCAGTCCGTTCCACAGGTAGCTCACCTGCAGGTAATTGAAATCGTCATGAATTTGTCATGTGCCCATCAGGAAAGTGGTAAAATGGTCAAGAGTTGAAGCAGGCGGAGCCGGCAAAAGCGCGAATGGCAGAGGGCTTGCGTTGCCAGCGCTGCCCGGCGCAGCAGGCCGCCGAGAGGCCTCAGGCCTGCTGCCAAGGCTGGCTTTCGGGCACGGGAAGGGAAGGAGGCCGGGGGGATATGGCAACCTTGCCGGCCGTCTGCGTGCCAGCCTCGGCCTAATATTGCCCTGGGAGCCCCGTCTCACCTCCTTCCCGGGGCAGACCGATTCGGGCACCAGCGTGCTGGACACCTTGAAGCCGTCGCGGATGAGGAAGGGCCTGTCCACCGTGGGGCCCACCACGCTGATGATCGGGGCCTTGCCAGCCGCGGTGATCTTGAGGGTCGCGCTCGCGCCGACGGTGGCGGGGGAGAAGGCGCTGCGGGCGGCGGCGGAGATGACGTAGGTGCCCACGCTCACGTTGGACACGGCGTCGGCGGGGATGACGAGGCGGGTCTTGTTGCTGCAAGGAGAGTGCGGGCGCGGGCGGAAGGTGGTGGATGGGCAGCAGGCGAGGGTGGATGATCGAGGTTGGACGAAGCAGGCGCCTATTCAGAGAGGACGGCAGATGCGGGATCAGGGCGAGCTCCAAATAGATGTCCAGCTCAGCAGCAGCAGCAGCAGCATGGGTGAGCGCAGCTGGCAACTCCGACCAGAAGCAGCAGTCGACAGCAGCAGTGCAGAAGAGGCCAACCGCGACGTGCGCAACCCACAACCGCGCGCCATCCTGGCCAGTATCGGGCCGCAAACTCACGTGCCGTCGCCGAGGCGCGCGTTCACCGCCGCGATGGCAGCGGCGATGGGGGCGCTGGCGCCCTCCGCCAGGTTCCAAATGATCGTGCTGAGGGGGCGCCCAGAGGGGTCGTAAGACAGGCCGGCGTCAAGCACCACGTCCACTGCAGCGGGGCTGCCGCCGCAGGGCTTTGAGACGGACTGCGTAACGAGGTGGGAGCGTCAGGAGTGGGGTGGGCAGGAGGAGGGGTGCCTCAGCAGCAGTGAAACAATGCCTGATCTAGGGGGTCAGGCGGGGTTTAGTCATCCCTTCGAGCAACTGCCAAGCTGACAGAATGGATTTTTGAAACCCTTGAAAGCCACGGCGAGGCGTGTTTTGACGAACGTGTAGGAAATGAAAGGACAGCAAGCGGGCTTGCTCTGTATCGGCAGGTGCACAGCCACCCACCAGCGGCGCAGAGAGTACGGCGACCGGCGCGGCGGGCGAGTCCGCGTCCGCGATGGCCAGGTTGCCGCTGGTCTTGAAGGCAGCGCCCGTCAGGTCGTGCAGCAGCACCGTCTGGTTGGCAGGGATGATCATGCTGTCGACGCCGGGCAGGACCGTGGCCACCGGCGGCAGCCGGACGGTCAGCGTCGTGCCGGCCGCCTCGCAGAACGCCTTGGCGCCGCCGGCCTTGGCGGCGGTGAGGGACGTGAGGAACAGCTGGTCGCACGTGAATTTGGCGGCCTTGGCCGGGGCGTTGAGGGTGACGACGATGGCGCGGCGGTCGTCCGTGAACTTGGCGGCGACTGCCAGCCGCTCCGCTGGCACGCACACGCCGTCGGAGCCGACGCAGGGGGTGGGGCTGACGACGCCGCCGGCGCAGGTCAGCAGGAAGCACTTGGCCGCAAGGCGCGGATTGGCGGCCAGGGGCGCGCAGGTGTCGGCGGGGTCGACGCAGGGCGTGGGTGCTGTGGTGTTACACAGCTTCATCTGCGGGCGGTGTTGGGAGTGACACCCGGTTTGCGGGTTGGTGAGGGTTGAAAGCGACCACAGTCCTGACAAGTGTGTTTCAACATCAATGGTGCCGCGTGCGGCAGCCTGGCAGTTGGCTAACAGCGGGCAGCATTCCCTGCACGGCCCCTGCACGCTTGGCACGGCAGCAGCGGCGGCTGCGCCAGCAGGAGCGGCCGCAGCAGCGGCGGCGGCGCGGTATCAGCGGTGGCGAGAAGGCCCCTTTCACAGCACGCGGGGCAACCGCCAGCGCACCTGGCTGTTCTGGGCCCGCATGTAGTCGACCACGTCCCGCTTGGCGCACAGCGGCGAGCATTGGCCCCGCAGCTGGCACGCGTCAAAGCCGAGGGCCCCGCAAGTGCAGGCCTTAGCGGCGGCGGCGGTGGTGTCGCAGTAGGTGCCGGCGGTGCTGGCGCAGTCGGCGTCGGCACCGCAGCCAGAGGGGGCCGTGACTGCGGGGGAGTGGCGGATGGCAGGTGCCGTGAGTCAGCTTTGTCATTGGTCTGATCAAGAAACCACGTGATAGCTGCTCGCCCTAGCTGCTTGCCCACCCCAGAGGTACCAACAGTCGGTCAAAAGCCAATTCGAATGTGGCAGGAAAGCTGGGCGATTAACGCCGGAAGCGTCAAGCTCTGCATTCAAAGATGAAGGCAGACATGCAGACATGCATGTGCAAACCCACCTGGGGGTGCGGGTGGGCCAGACACGACCCCGTTGGACGTGCAGGCGTCCAGGCCAGCGGTGTAGTTCTGCGCCGTGTTGCTCGAGTTGGTGACCGTGACGCGGCAGCCCAGCTGGGGGAGGCACTGCTTCAGGGCATAGCACAGCGCGGCGGGGCGGCGGCCAAAGTTGCCGTTGTTGCTGTCCGCGATGGCCCGCGCCACGAGGGCGCAGGCGACGGGGTCGGCCTGCTCGGCGGCGCAGCGCGCGCTGAAGAGCGCGGCGACGGCGCCGGCGCCGGCGGAGGGGGGGACGGTTGCCTGCGTGCGAGAGTTGAGGGCGCGTTGGGTTGGGTCAGGATGCATGGAGCAGAGGAAGCTGACTCATTTGCAGGCATGCAGACCCCAAGGCGACCCCTGAATTCGCCTCACCCAGGGGCTGCCATGAGCAGTGGTACACCCCTCGCCCAGTAGGCGTGAGATCTTGGCGTGTTCATTCAAGTGAGTATGTGATCCAGCTAGGGGCGCTCCCACAATTTATGCGCACACGCCGCCCGGGGGGACACCCCGCTCACCGCGAAGCTCGCTGCGGTCTTGATGCACTGCTCGCACGCCGCGCAGGGGTTGACGGGCACGACCGTGTCCAGGTTGGCGGCCGACGCGACGGAAACAACAACGCTGTCCGCGGCAGAGCAGCCTGCGTAGGCGGGCAGGGAGGATGCATGCGACTGGTTGACCAGGGTTGACCAGGAGCGATGGAGCCTGCAGTTGAGCTGCATGCATGCGTGTGCCGGCCGGCCAAGGCCGCAGGGATGCAGCTACGCAGGCACCCATGCCACTTGAAAACAAACTGGTACCCTGTCCCGCAGCTAAGCAAGCACGCACCTGTCTTGTTGGCCCAGAAGCCGATTGTCGTCGCGCCGAGGGGCAGCTGCCTGCACACAAAAGTGAGGCTGCCCGAGGCCACACTGCTGGGCAACAGGGCGCAGGCCGCGTTGCTAGACATGATGTCACCGGCCGTCAGCCCGCCTGCGATCGCGACGTCGATCACGGCGTCGCTGGCAGAGCCATTCTGGATCAAGATGAAGCTCTGGCGGGCGACGGCGCGGAGGCTGTAGTTGCGGCCGTGCACGACGATGCGGCTGGTGGCTGACAGCTGGTTGACTGATCACATTATTCCCATTGGTGGCAGGAGGGGTGCAGGGGGTTGGGAATGAGCGTCAAGGCGTTGAGTTGGCCGGCAGGGCGCAGGACAAGGGGTTGCTGTGACTTGCGATCGCTGGAAAATTTGGCTTCTTCCGTGTTCAAGTGGTAAAAGCCCCAAAGATTAAGCCAGCCCATTCACAAGGCCTTCATGACCCCCGGGGGCTCACGGTACTTAGAGACCACGAAGTTCACGGCGTAACTGCCTGCCATCAGGTTGGTGCAGGAGTAGGTCAGCACCTTGGGGTGCGTCGACCTCGGCTCGCTGTACGGCACCGGCGCGCACTGGGCGCCGCCGGCATCGACCACCATGTCTCCCGGGCTCAGATCGAGGCCGTTGCTGTCGTCCAAGGTTATGGGGATGTCCACACGGCCGAGGCGCGCGGCCCCGGCGCACTGGTCAAGCTCGTAGAGCGGGGGAGCAGCAAGGGACCAGGGGCGGACGGTGCCGACGTTCATTTCGAACTCCTTGGTCACGCTGCAGGCGCCTGTACAGGTGCGGGCGCATGGCAGCCCGAGGGCGTGTGCAGTTAGTAGAATGGCGCGTTGGGTCATGTGGCCTGGGGGTCGCGAGTGGAGCTAGCGCAGCTGTCCAGGGGGCGGAGTGCTCGGTGGCGGTCCGAGGGCGAGGCTGAGTGGCGGGGGCTGAGGTGCGAGGGGCAACACTTGAGGCAGCAGATCTGCTGGCAGGCTAACCGCAAGCCCTTACAATGGCACGCAAAGCGTGCCTTTGAAATTTGTTCAAAAGCACGCTCTGAACCCATACAGCACAACACCCCCATCCTGATTTCTTATTGGGTCCAGGCACACGCATGTGCCATGGTTTAATCAACGCCGGCAAGAGTCCCAGGCGTGCCCACCCTGGGTGTCGTTCGCGCTGAAGCTGATCTCGATGGGCTGGCTGCCCGCGGCGACGCTGCAGTTGTACATGAAGTACTTGGCGGTGGAGTTGTCCGCGGTGGCCATCACCTGGATGCCGCCGCTGACCTGCGGCAAGCAGTGAGATGGCGAGCGGAAATGGGAGGGCCGTGGTGCCGACGCACGTGTACAAGGGTATTGACGCGCCCGCGCGCGCGCGCGTGTGTGTGTGTGTGTGTGTGTGTGTGTGTGTTCGTGTGTGTGTGTGTGTGTTCATGCGTGCGTGCGTGAGTGTGTGTGTGTGTGTGTGCGCGTGTGCGTGCATGCATGCGTGTGTGTGTGGGTGTGTCTGGACACACACTGTGCACAGTATTGCATTCAGTGGCATGCGAGCGGCCGAGGGCGACCCCGCACCTCGCAGTTGGCGTTGCGGATGTGCTGGATGGCCAGGGGGTCCACGCCCCTGCCGGCCACCACACGGATTGCGGCCATTGCGCTGCTCGCGTCAGGCTGCAGCAGCAGGTCGTTGCCCACGACCACAGCGCCATTCGCGCCGACGACGGCGGCGTCGAGGGTGAAGGCACGGTTGATCACCGTGAAGGTGACCGCCTGGCTGCGGGTGACGCCTGCGGACGGGTGGAGTGTGGGAGTTGACGTGGTGAGAGGTCCCTACACTGGCGCGTGCTGGACTGCAGTCCGATTAGCCAGATTGAAAAGGGGTCCCACAATTGTGGGCCCGGCGAAACCAATTACCCGGCCATCGCAACGCCTTGGGCAGCTGCGTCGCCGCACATTGAAGGGGTAGCGTCTGCAGGCGACACGCCTTGCCCGGGCGCCACGCAAGTATCC